CAATACAATACAATACAACACAATATAATAATTATATCATAGCCATAGAACAATTCTCGCTGACCTTCTTTTCAGGGGAACTTGCTAACCAGTCAGATTGGCTTTATCGATAAATTTGTGTTTATCAGAAATATAGCTTTGGAGTGAATATATACACGCTCCAGATTTGGCCAGATTTGATTCATATTATCCTGAGTCTACTCTTTTCCTCCCAATTCCATTCTTGTTTTGGAATTCCAAATCTGGCTGGCTCCACGTGGCCAGGTTCTGCAGCAGGCTGACTCCAGAGATATTATATTTTAAATCAAATTTAGCAACTCTACACAGCAGCCAGTTCAATAATTCACTACTCTAAAATCAGATAGAGAAGCTAATTTTCATTTTACCATTGAAAGTAAATCAGTATCAAATATTTAGTTTAAATACAGTGCTGGGCATTGCTGATCTATATTATGATATGTTAATACTCAAATAGAACTTTTATATTAAAGAGGTCATTACTTTCTCTCTTTTTTCTCATGTGAAAGCAAGAATACATTCCAGGAAGATTTGGTCATGAGGAAACCACTGGGTATGCTGCTTTTCCCATAGAAGAAAGTCATGAAAATGCAACAATATCAATGTTTATGCGCACACGCAAGCCTTCTGGCTTGTTATTTGGTCTAGAAAAAAACACATCCCTGTTTCTTAAGGTCTGGCTAGAAGATGGGAAACTTGCAATATCAGGTCCAAACTCCAGCAAATTCTTAGGTATGCAGACTATGAATGATGGAAATTTCTATTTAATATCTTTACAAATTGGGCCAAATAAGACAGAGTTGTTCCAATCATCACAAAACCTGGGCTCTGTTTCTACACCCTTCATAAAAATACAGAGAAGGGATATGTTCTACATCGGTGGATTACCAGACAAGCAAGAAACAATTGCCAATGGTGGGTATTTCAAAGGCTGCATTCAAGATTTAAGACTGAGCAACCAACCACTTGAATTTTACCCTGTTACTGCTTCACTGAATCCTGTCAACAGCCACAGCACACTGGTCAATGTAGTTGCAGGATGCCCTGGAGATGACCTCTGCAAGGTAAGAATCCTGTTTTTCAAAGTGCTGTTCCCATGATTGAAAGGAGTTCTCCTTTGAACTGGTAGGGTTCCAAAACAACATGTGACAGTAGGAATACCTCAAGGCTGTATCTGAAAGAGGCAGGTAAGACGAGATTTTGCCAAACAGGTTTGCAATTTGTGGGCAATGATACCACAAAGTGTCTGGTAGACAGGAAGGGCAGCTCTTACTGTAAATCTCACAGTAATGACAACCAGTAAGCAAAGCTGCAGTTCATTAAGAGCAACTTGAACTCACTGTAGTTTCCAGACCAAAATATTCTCATAATTACTTTAAAACCACACTTTACAGAACAGGCTAATCAGAGGGCATGTTACGGGCATTAGATCTGGCATCAAGGTTCATAAAATATTAAACAAGGAGTGAATGTTGTATCACTACAGAAATATAAAAGCAGCCAAAAATGGATTAGATGTACCAAAAACCTCACAGCTTTCATTTAACACTTTTTAACAACATGGCATTCTAAAACACTATCACCTATGAATTATATGTAAGGGAATATGCAGGTTTATGGAATACATTATACTGTGGATTCTAGGTTTATACAATGTATGTTTCACATTAAGCAGCTATTCATTTAAATCCCAGACATTTAGGAACATTTTAATGATTTACTTATAATCATGCCTGATTTCTTCCCAAGAGTTTACCCTGTTTTGAACTTTTAAATTATACCACTATATTTTCAGAAAAAGATGACATTTCTTACTCATTTTCACTTCTCCTTGCCACTTGAAGCCTTAGAGAGGAATGACAACTGAACTCACAGCATGCCTAACACTTGTCCAGGCCACTCTCTTTCTGTTCTTCTCTACTATGTGGTTTTTTGCTGCTTTCAAACATGAGGGCCAGTTCACACCAGTACTTTGTGCTTTCTCATTATTTGTTTTTTCCTTCCTTCATGGGGGCCAGCTGAGATCACTTCTACCTAAGGGGTTTGCAGCAATGCAAAAGCAGATCTGGGGCCTACTCATAGACCTTTTTGCTTCTCCTGCCATTCCAGCCACTAGAGCAATATGCAACCATAGTTAATGCTATAGGGAAAAGCATGTGGTTGCAAAAATGCTGACAAGCTATTATTTCTCTTCACAACTTGAAAGAAGCATTTTAATGCAACAGGAATGGCATTCAGGGCCCCTCCCAGTAACTACAAAGATTTTGCTTCCTTTTTGCGGGGGGGGGGGGGAATGGAAACCAGACAAATGGATCTTGAATAGATGGAAAGAGGAGGGCTAGCAATCTATTTTAATTTTGTATGCAGTGGGGAGAAAGGATTTTTGTTGCTCCAGGAACTGCAAGAGTTCAGGGAAGTGGGAGACTGATTAAATTTTGCTCTTCCAGTGTTCAGCTGGAGGACTAGCACAGAACATAACTACAATTATAGATTGCTTCAAACTATTTATGAGGGTTTCAGGAATAGAAACAGTAGGTTTGGGAATGCCCTGAATGCATGAATGGAGTCCTTTGACAAGCATGCTATTTGTGATCTTGGTTCTATGATGGCTTACTTACATGTGCTGCTTGATGTCAGAACTGGTAAGTGGTGAACAGAAGCCAGCCCTCAGTAGTAGTAATAATATTAAAAAGAAAAAAAATACACAGGGCCTACTTTCCATTCATACTTCACAACTGTATCTCCTGACAATTCCTCTGACTAGAGAAGCCCAAGATGATCTCCCCCTTCAGCTGGACTCTTTGCCTTCCTTCAGCCTTTACATCCATTTATTTATGCATCTATGCATGCATGCATGCAATTGATACCTATTTTTCTGTACAGCTGAATACACAAGGCAGCCAATAAAATTATACAAAAATACAAATGATAAAAGCAAGACTTCAAATTCACAAATATTCTAATACCTGCTTTTGTTGTACTAGTTTTCTGTTTGCCTTCTCTTCAATTTGTTGGTAGTCCAAAGACAAAACCCCCAAAGAAGAAGCATTTCTACAATTAGGATTAACAAAAACTTGGCTAGTTAGAACTGTTATTTCTGTACAATAGAGTGGCTTTATAATAAGCAAAACCATTATTACTTCTATCAGTACTGTTTGTACTGATATGGGATTGAAATTCGTCATTTGAAAATAATAATAATAAAATCATCCATGGGGGTGGAGGCCTTTGTGTTGTGGGAAGCAGCAAGCGAAAGATTAATATTTTTCCCCCTCCACTCTCATTGCTTTTTGGATCTAATCCACCCTCCCTCCCCCAAAGTTATTAGCCCAGAGCAGGAAAAGAAATGCAGGCGCAAAAATGTTACCTATGTTCCCCACAGCAACTCCCAGGTGGGGCTCCTAGCAGCCTTAGGATCTAATTTAGATCTAGAGAAAGTGGCATAGAAGATTAAACTTCCTTTCTCACAGTACTGCTATTCTCATAAAAATTGGAGCCCCCCATGGCTGTCTGAAAAGGCACAGAAGTTGAAAGACTTGATCTCAGATTTCTTGCTTCCTGTCTATTTCCCAGTTGAGGGTGAAATCAGAGGTCTTCACTAACTCTGCTACCTCAGGTACTTCAGCTGGTAAGGCCAGGAAATTAACTGAGAATTTTCTGGCATTCAAAGCAAGTATTTTACCAATGGATTAAAGCCACCACCCTTTACTGGTTTGTTTGTTTAGCAAACAGATAAATATTCCGTATAGTTAGTTCCACTGTAAACTTTGTATAAGAGAAATGGACAATATATGGCCTGCAAGATGTTGGATGGAAAATTTCCTTTACTCCATTGGCCACCCTGATGAGGGTTGATGATAAAGTTACCCAACATCTGGAAGACCAGATATGACCCATCCTTGATTAAAATATATGAACGAAAAAAGATGACTAATCACCACCAGTGACAAAGTGAGAGGAAGCCAGGAGAAAGGCAGATTGTCTTGATTGGAAAAACAGAAAACTTTGCTCACCTTTCATTCCCATCTTTCCTGTTTAGTCTGCTCCATGCCAGAACAGTGGTGTTTGTTATTCAATCTGGGATGACTTCACTTGTACTTGCCCACCAAATACCGCTGGGAAAGCTTGTGAAGAAGTGAAATGGTGTGACCTCAGCCCTTGCCCCCCTGAAGCCCAGTGCCTGCTGGTATATCAAGGATTTGAATGCAAGTATTTCAGCTTCCCCAACGATTTGTATTGCCTTTTGCAGATTAAGGTAACAAACACAGTAAAAGTTTTCCCAACTCTTTCAGGGTAAATGGGTGTTCCACTTCTTTTGCTATGTTTGGTTCCCTAATTGTTGGCACCACAAGCACGCTTTGTAATAACTCTAGTTTTGCCATGGATTCCAACTGAGGTGAGCATGATCAGTAATTTAAAGAAATAGAAGATCACAAATAGGCAACTTAGGTCAGCTGAAGGGCTGCACAAGGCTTTGTGTGGGATGCCAAGTCTCACACTTCAAAAGTGAGCAAAGGTAAGTCTGTTTTGGGAGACAATTACTGCAGTTGTTAAGATGCCTTAAGCGTCTACAATCCATTTTGCCCCAAACTCCCAAAATGCAAAAGGGGCTGAAATGGAGTCTTTTGATAGGAGTAGCTCACCTATAGCCCTGGGTTACACATCATGGCTCCAAAGATAATGTGCAATTCACCAGAAGGAATGAGGATGGTCGGCAAGTCTCCCTCGTCTGTGGGTTTTGTTTTTGTTTTTAAAGATGCAGGGGAACTTATGTGAATGCATCTAATGGAAATTTTATGTCAAATTTTGGCATACTTGCTGTTTCATGAAACGCTGACTTAATTATATATTTTCCATTATTCTGAAAGGAACAGTAGCATTTGCCATACAAAAGCAAACTGAGTAAAGGCCTAACCCTTAAAAATAATTGGGGCTCTAGTGTGGACTTAACATGATAGTGGATTGCATTCTGTAGTAACACATAAGGGGAAAATTGCAGTGAGTCAGTCGCTGTGCATAGCATATGGCAATGTATATGCACTTTTGCATGGCAAGATAGGAGACAGGAGAAGGTGGCATGAATAAACATTACATCCCAATCCAAGGCAAGATTATGGTTTCAGAGGTCTGCTATGAATCATCAAAATAGAGGCTGGTGCAAAATACACACACTTTACAATGGAGATTCAGTTTTGAGCATCAGAACTGAACATTCCTTCCATACAAATCAGTTTCTGATTACCCAAATTTTCTTTGTTTTAGCAATATAATTTAGGACATATTGTTATTGCTGTTGTTAAATGATTGGGAGTCAGACATCTTTTCTACCTCGAATCCCAAGTGATCTGCTAATGGAGCCATATCTCTCTACTTTATATGTGTTCTGTATTTTAAAGAAGGGGTAAAGATGGAGAGAGAAGGGGATGATTAATTTTGTAAAGAAATCATTTCAAGATTTTTTCTCATAAATTGCCAAATATTCTTAATTCCACTAAGATTTGAAGTCCATAAATATCATGTGCAGTAGTGCCATCAGGACAGAACAGAAATCCGTGGCCCTGTTCAGCAGAATGAACAAGGTCAACTCCTCTTTCTCAGAAAGCCCCAAAGTTTAAATTATCTAACTGTATCACTCTACTTGTAACATTAAGAGGAAGAAAGGGGAGGAGGAATACTTAGTTATCAGAATGTTGCCCTTTGACTTTTCAGTTATTAATGATATCTGTTTAAGGTAAGACTATTACATGTGGACTGCTAAAACTGGATGAACCCTGTGTGGTAGCAAGGGGATCCATAAAAATCCAACTCTTTGTTGTGATGTCATGATCATCTGAAGTTTTGCAACCCAGATCTTTTAACCCAAGCCAAGGTGGTTCTAAAAACAGCACAGTGCTTTCTCAGTGCTAATATGACTCTATTTTAGCATACAGTGAGATAAGAAGTTTAATCCTTTACACTGACCTTAGATGTCCTTCTCTCCTTCCCTTCTTTTCTTCTGGCAAATGATTCCAGATGTGTATTTTCATGCTAATTAATTGCAGGTTTTTTTAAAGTGAAACGTGCAACAAATTTTTAAGCTCTATAATCACACTAACCATTACAAAGCCAAGGGCAGTTAAGGGAATAATAAATAAATATGGGCTGTCAATATTTCAGATAATAGGGAGCCCGTATCAATATCCTAACTCTTAAGATTCACATATGTGTGCTTTTTTATTACCAAGCACTTTCTGGTTCATGCCACATGGAATCCAAAGTAGAATCTCCCATTAATATACAGAGAAGATAACACTACTCTTATGCAGTAAGTTGATTTTTGCCATCTCTGCTCAGGTATTTCCAATGCCATTTTTAGTGGCAGAAGCAGTGCCATCTTTTATAGAAGCAATGGGAAGATCAGGAGAAATCTCACTAATATAACCTTTGGCTTTCGGACTCGAAACTCAGATGTGATACTGCTTTATGCCGAGAAAGAGCCAGAGTTCATCTCTATCAGCATTCAGAATACCAAATTGTTGTTTCAGATGCAAAGTGGTAATAGCTTTTTTACGCTGAGCTTGGCTAGTTCACTATCAGTGAATGATGGGAAGTGGCATCGGGTCACCTACTCTATGACAGAGCCACTGTCTCAGTCATCAAGATGGCATATTGATATAAATGATGAGAGAGACCATGCAACAAGTACCGTTGCCACTGGAAACCTCAACTTCCTCAGAGAAGAGACAGATATCTATCTGGCTGACAAAGCTTTTGATAGTCTAGATGGACTGAGAGGGTGCATGAGCACTGTGGAGATTGGTGGTATCCATCTCTCTTACTTTGACAATGCTGGTGGCTATACTAAAAAACCACAAGAAGAACAGTTTCTCAAGATCTCTGCCAATTCTGTTGTCACTGGCTGCCTTAAGTTGGATCCCTGCAGCTCAGACCCTTGCTTGAATGATGGGATGTGTGAAGATTTTTACAGCTATTTTCACTGCCTATGTGTCAAGGGATGGACTGGAACCCAGTGTGAAATCAGTGTTGATGAATGCTCATCAAACCCTTGTGTCCATGGAAATTGCAGTGATGGAATATCAGCTTATAAGTGTGTATGTGATCCTGGATACAAAGGAACAAGGTGTGAAGAAGACATAGATGACTGTTATGGACATCTCTGTGGAAATGGCGCCACTTGTATAGATGGAATTAATGGTTATTCATGCCTATGCACTGGGAATTTCACTGGAAGATTTTGCAGGTACGGTAACAAAGCTTTGATGAAGATATTCATTCACTATCAATATAGTTAGAGATCCAGTTTGGTGTAGTGATTAAGGCATCAGGCCAGAACCGGGGGAGACTGTTCTAGTCCTGCCTTAGGCAGAAAGCCAGTTGGGTGACCTTGGGCCAGTCACTCTCTCTCAGACCAGGCAATAGCAAACCACTTCTGAAATCTTGTCAAGCAAACTGCAGGGACTTGTCCAAGCAGTCACCAGGAGTCAATACTGTATCAAAGGCACCACCAAAAAAAAAAGTTATAGTTCACTTCCAAAGATCTTAAATACCTGGTTACCAGTTATGATACTGTACTAAAGTACAGGAGGTCTGATCATGTTTGGAGCAGTTATTCCATGCATCTATATTCATTGTTATTAATGTAGGTAGCTGTTGTTTTACATGATGTTTTGCAAAGCAAGTAAAACAGACAAGACAGATGAAATAACGTACAGTAGGAATGTCAGGTATCAGATTCTGTGGGTCATGAAGCAGTCAGAAGAGTGCATGTGTGATATGGTCTGGCTTGTAAGCAAGCCTGCTCAAGGATGCTGGTTCCATCAACAGCACTAAAGTGAGATTCTTAAATGGAATGGAAGTGTTACCTTTGCTATAGCCCTGGACCATTTCTGAAAAGATCCCTCCCCATGAAAGTTGCAAGCTAAGCTTCAAAAGAAGGAATACAAAATGGGGTTGGAATGCTAAGAGCATTAGGTCATAGACCTGAGGAATGGAAGAGATATGAATGAGGATAATAATATTGTAATTTATTTCATTAGTTTGTTTCATTTATGAGTAAGAAGTGACAGGTTAGACAGTTTATTTCTCTGGACTAGAATATGTGATTCATGCCGTCAAAATATTTCATGCTGCCAAAAGGGAATGGAGATGGGATTGCAAATAATTACTGTAGATCAGAAACAAAATAACTGATGTGCAACAACTTGCAAAAAACCCCACCTTTTTCATAAAGAAAAGAAAGGGTAGGAAAGGTTCTTAATATAAATACAAGGAGTGGCTCCTAACTTTTCCCTACCATTCTGTTTCACATACCAATAATACCCACAATTCATAGCGACCATTGGCATGGGGAAATAGCCAGCAGGGGGGAGGGGAGGAGAGAAATAAATATCCACACTGAGACATCAGAACTCAAAATAGCCCCCAACCCTCAAAGGCTCTTCATTGACAAACAAGCAAGCAGCCATTGAGACTTAAAATTACATTTAATGCATTATTTAAAATGCAAACAGCCATTTAAAAGCCTTTCCAAAGATACAATTCTGGTTGTGGCCGAATAGATCACTTGAGAATTATTTCATTTCACTGTCTCCTTTGTTTAGTCACTTAAGTTTGCTTATAGTATTGGGATTTTGTATAATTTATACACATTATTTTTGTGCCCGAAATTTTTTTGCTGATTCCCTCATTTTTGGTTATACCCTTGCATCTGTCTTGGCAGATAGCCTCTAGGTACTTCCAACAATTAGATATCCCATCGAAAGCATAATCTTATCACAATCACATCAGAAAAATGGGTGAGGAGGGATGGAATTTTTCCTGGCAGATCATCTTGTGAGAATACATTTACAAGGAGCTCATAAGTGTGGCCCCCAACATCTGAGAAACGTGAAAAGTTGGAAATACAGTCTTTGGAATATGCAGCAGAAACAATAAGGGAAAATGGGTATTCTGGAATTCAGGGAAGGTTGAAAGGGATTTTAAAACACGCTATTCACAGACCTGGTTAATTCTTAGATGAGAGACTATTAAAGAATTCTAGATTATAGACCAGGCTGGGAAATTGGACATGCTTCCTGGAAGAATATAGCAGCAAACCACTGTTCCCCCAGAAACTTTGTGCTTTTGTCAAGGTAGTCATCAATGGTGTCTTTCTTAACTATATAAGTACTAGAGATGCTCATGCATAAAAATGATTCAGAAGAAATGCTTCAGATCCTATGCAAGCACAACACCTTTCTGCTATTCATTTTAAGCAACCCACCTTTTTTTCAGTCTTCCATGAAAGCCTAAAAAGAAGTTGCATTAATTTCAGTGAGTCAGTTCCTAAAAGCAGCCACTCCTTTTTCTCAGGTTGGTCCTCCTTCCAGCTGCCCTCTCCCACATTAGGAAAGGTCTCCTATTTATATATCTGGTATCTGATTACTTGGAAGTAATCTCTCCATTCAGTCTTTCATGAATCCAAAAGAAGACTCAGTAGATTTCATGTCAGGTTTTAATACAGTATATTAAAAATAGATGTGCCTTAAAATAATATTGGAACATTATTACAGACTTGTTTTTTTTCCACTATAGGCACATACGACTGCCTTCAACAGTGTGTGGGAATGAGAACAAAAATCTTACCTGCTACAATTATGGCAACTGTACTGAGTTTGAAGGACACTTAGAGTGCACATGCCTTGCAGGCTTTGCAGGACCACAGTAAGATCTTTTGATGTGTCATATCTGATTTCTTTGAGAATGAATATATAATTTTTTTCATGCAACTGCACAATGCCATGTGTTAGTTGTTATTATTCCAGTCGTATGCAACAAACACTAGGCTTGGCAGAAATATTAGCTTTTGTTTACTACAGTAGTGTATCATCTTGCTATTCGTTCATTTGTGGAAGCAGTGAAAAAAACAAAACAGAAACCATGTGAATGTGTTTTGAAGGACTCACTCCAAGATAAGGGTTTCACACTGAAAAGCTAGTTTGTGTAAGGTGGGATTTTTTAAAAAAATTAAAATTATTGGCATGAAGGAACTTAGTTCATGAATGAGATTACTTATAAAATGCTGTAACTTCAGAAAGGTTGAGTCATATTTCAGATCTAACCCATCCCAGGAAGGCTATATCACAGGGTTTCTCTGTATGTGTATATCAACCCTACGTGTAGAACAAATCACGACCTCCTTTATATTATGGCTTTCTATTCACTTCAGCTTCATACACACCCTATATATACAGTGAACAAGATTCCCCAAATCCTACATTGCTACATTCCAAATAATCCATAATCTATGGATTTGTATTTACAAATACAAGCAATTTAAGAAATTAAAATCTTTATATTTTCAACGTCACTAGCTAGCAAAAAGTTTTAGTTTTTCAGTAATTAATAAATGGCATTGTGTACCATTTCCTATATTCTTCAAATTTAATAAAGCTACCTGTATGTTTCTGGATTAACCTAACTGAATACAAAGCAATTCTGGAATGTTTATTTTAAATATTGTAAGCTGCCCAGAGTCTTTTTGATGTTGTGTGGCCTCAAAAAATGAAATAAATAAATTCAGGTCAGATCAACATTTTTAATTTTTTCCCCTAGATTGCTATAGGTTACTATATGAATTAAGCTTTCATTCATGTTTGAAATATTTGCACAGTTAGATTTAAGTATTGTCACAGTGCTTGCCATTTTGGAATTCTTGTTACAACACTTCACACCAAAGGATTCCTGTATGTGTGACATTACAAAATTTTCTGCAGCATTATCAATACTTACTGGATCTCATCAGTGTTCTGTGTGACCTGAAAGCATAAACTAACAGATATCCCAACTTTCTTTTTATAGAGAGTTGCTAATTTGTTTACAGATAGCAAGGCAATAACATCATATAAATGCTTTTACTTGAATTTACAATGTAATCATGTCCAGTATATCTAGATACTGTATAAGGTTCACTTTAAATATCATTCCTTCATGCCAATGTCAACTTCAACATTCTCAAATCTGGAATCCATCCATAACTCCAACAAGCAATGTGGGACAATCCATTAGTTTTTATTATTAATTCTATCTGTTTCTCTTTTCTGAATTTTTTTCCCATCTATTTTGTCTTCCTCTCCTCCCACCCCAATAACTTTTACAACGGAGATTGTCTTGGTCTCATTTACAGAATCTTAAACTTGATGTCGAAGGAAGATCAATATTGTTAACTCACTTTCTGCAGTGAGATGTTTTATAGTTCAATACCCATAATACCCAGCCATGGACCATGATGACTGGAGATAATGGGAGGTGAAGTCCAGTAAATCTGGAAGATCTGGAATCAGGTTGAGTAAGAGTGGTTTAAAACCATTTCAGAGCCACTGGAAACAGAGAGTGATATTTCTTCCTCTTCACTTTCTGTTAGGGCAGCTGATCTAAATATTTATCTAATTTTTACTTTGCAGATGTGAAGTGGACATCAATGAATGCAACTCTAACCCATGCCTCAATGGAGGCCTCTGCCAGAACCAGATCAACAAATTTTACTGTATCTGTGATGTGAATTATGCTGGTGATCGCTGTGAGATAGATGTAAGCGACATCTCCTTTTTTCTCTCTCTCTTGTTGTGGCAGAATCTTTTTCAACTTCTTTCTTACCTCATTCTGCGCATGGATGATGACCCAGCAGTGGAATGGGGTGAACCAGATGATTAGTAGCAGTGAATATGTCCAGTGTTATTTTAAAATCATCAGATATCTTGGCCAAAGTTGAAATAAAAATAATAACAAATCCAACACTTCAAACCATGTTTTGCGATATTTCAGATAGATGTAAAATCCATCATTGTACATTATTTGGAGTTGTTATTGCAGTGGTAAGCATAAGGGCTGTGAGATAGATTTGTGATACTTGAGCTTTTAAAGTGACAGAGAAGACAGCAAAAGGTTTCCAGAGCAGATCTCCATTCTCATACACTGGAAATTTCTTCTGGTTTGGGTTTGTTCACTAGTCTGATTTTCATGCTGTCTCCTCCCTTAACATTGTAAGATGCAGAACAAACATATCTTACTTTAAAACAGGGTATGCAGTCTACAGACTCAGAGTTATATAGAGCTCCCCCAAGGCATTGAAGGTTGTATCTGGAGCCCTTCCAAATGTTGTTGCCAAACTGTAATTTTAATGTGATAGAAAGGGAAAATTATGACAGGGATAGAGATTAATCATATTAACAATAATTAACACTTTGAACTTAATTTTGATTTCCTTTTACTTAAATCCAGTTTAGGTTCCCTTTGGTCTTCTTTACATTTTGCAGTGTGAGTTGTTATTCCCTTCCTGTTTTAAAAAATGTGGTCATTTTCTCCCAATATTTTGAAATCACAGACTTGCGTTTCTGAGTGTCATAACATTATCACCAATCTTAAGTGTCTTAGCTTGTGTATATGTGTGTGCATACATGTAACATGTGGGTGGATGGAAGCATGTGTGTATGTCTGTAGATATATACATACACTCTGTAACGATAATTCCTTTGTTTCACTACTCTTAAAACTACTCTGCCTTCCGGCAGCCTGGACATTTGTTAGAGTGGTGTCACTGAGAGCAAAAATAGTTATCCAGTTGCAACTTAAAATCATAATTATTTTTACAGATTGATTCAAATATAATGATCAGGTTAAGATGCTCCCAAATTGCATTTCAGGTCACACACTGAACTCATGCCATAAGGAAATCAATACAGTTGGACACTCCTGTGATCTTAAAGCACTCACTTCAGAAGGGTTTTGTTCCAGACTGGCCTAATAATAGAGTCAGTCTAGTTTCCGATGATTTATGAATAAACAGCTGCTCTGCCTTGCTGGGATTTAATATGAGCCTGTTTTGTCCCACCCAGTTCCTTACAGCCATCACACACTAGATCATGGTTTCCACAGCATCTTCTGCTTGGCCCAAGGTGAAGATCCACCTACTGATTGTAGCCCACACTGGACCAATGGATGACTTCTCCCAGCAGTTTTATGTGGATGTTAAATAAAATGGGGAGTGGAGTGGAGACCTGAGCCTTGGCAGTACACCTCATAGAAATAGCCAAAGGGTTGACTTCTCATCCCCCACCACCTGCACACTTAGGAAAGAGTAGAACCACTAAAACAGAATGCAACTCCCGACCCTCACAGGTAATCTAGAAGGCTACCATAGTCAATGGTTCCACATTATCCTGTGAAATCTAGCAGGACTAGAAATGCTTTAATTTCTTCATCCAAGTCCTACTGCAGGTCACCCACAAGAATATCTAATGTTATTTTCAATCCCATACCCAGTTTTGAACCAAATGTATGGGATCCAGATAAACCACTTCTTCCAGGATCCTCTACAGTCAAACTCCCACCATCTTATCAACAACCTTTCAGAAACAGGGAATATTATAGATGGGACAGAAGATGTCTAGCAGCTCTGGATCAAGAGAGGTCTTCTTATGAGAGGGTGCACAACTATCTATTTTAAGGTGGTGAATACCCTTTTCTCCATCAAGGAAGGATTAACATCCTTCTAACTCAGCACTTGTCTCCTTTCTGGCAGCTTGAACCATCTAGGATAGGCAGTGATCCTGCACATAGCAGTTCAGTTCATAATACAGAGGACCTGTTTACTTCCTCAGACTTTACAGCCTCAAAGGAATCCCAGATGACATCATGAGACATTCTCCAGTCATTTTAGTAGATTCTTCCCATGAGATGTCCAGTTCCAAGCAAATATAAGTGATTTTTCCCCCTCAAAGTGCTTTATAAACAAATCACAGCACAGCAGTTCTTTCTGTCCCCTCATTCCCCAATATAATTTGGGTCATCTTAAACAAGGCTGCTGGATTATACTTTGGGGTGGAAAAGTATTGCTGCTCCACCATCTTTATCACCACAGCGTAGACCCGAATTTGGGCTTGTATTGATGTTCAGTCCTATTCACTCATTGGTTTTGCCATCAATATTCTAGGCGCCACTTCATCTCCAAAGCATTTCCATAAACTATGGGTCACCACTGGATTAGGACACACAGAGAAGCCAGTCAGGGCACCAATTCTCTGTTCAAGAGCTCAGTGAGAAACATGTCAGAACCCTCTTCCAGATAGCAGGGAAATTCTCCAAGTACCCATAGGAACTATATATAGGTGTATGTATGTATGTACGTATGTATGTGTATATATATATGTGTGTATGTATGTATATGTGTGTGTGTGTGTGTGTGTATATATATATGGAGAGAGAGAGAGAGAGAGAGAGAGAGAGAGAGAGAGAGAGAGAGAGAGAGAGAG